TCGCCTTTACTTCCACGATCCTTGGTTACAACAGTCTACTCTTTGTGCGGCAAAGCCACGTGTCAGCCGAGGAACTTGCACTCAGACTGTCTCTCTCTAGTGAACTGATTAGAACTTCTACTCACGTTTGTTTGTCGTTGGTCGCAGCCTTCGCTTGTTGATAGTTCCCTCGTTTACTATGGCTTGCAATAACATCTAACGGCCTGATGGTCTAGTAGTATGATTCCTTGTTAGGGATTAATTCCATATCGAGGAGGTCCCGGGTTCAATTCCCGGTCAGGCCCGCTACGTAACCGCTGTAATTTTTTAGTGCATCCTGCGTACTCGCGCCTCAAGAAGGATGCATGATTCTATGAGTGAAATTGTCATGCCAGAGGAACAGTGCAAACAATAGTCTGCATTGGCCCTGGTTATCTCCTTCCATCTCCATCAACTTGACTCGAAACGGAAGGACGGCAGGCGTTATTATACAAGCCACAAGGACCAACTTTAGGATTCATTTACTGACCCTTGTCTGTCAATCAATTTACAATGCGTGTCCAGTCGCGTTACAGTGATCAAACGTCAAGAACACAACAACCTTGATCATCACTTATTAGCCCATTCAAATAAAGTCTGAATGCACACAAGAGCACGAAAGGATTCTCGTAGACACACAAGGCCCGAAAAGGCCGAGGCAACAAAATTGGACAATTGAAGACGACACAAGCGAATGCACCCCTGAGGGTCCGACCCGCAAGCTTACACATGGCCTGATGGTCTAGTAGTATGATTCCTTGTTAGGGTTTCACCATTCGAGGAGGTCCCGGGTTCAATTCCCGGTCAGGCCCATTTCCAATAATCTTGGTGCTGTTGTTTTGTTTCTAGTCCCTGCGACCATCACGTGGGCTGTGATCGAGTGGACCGCGAAGCGCAAAGAAAGCTCAAGGGCAGCACGAGACAACATTTTCTCCCGGATAGTGAGTCTTTGCTGGAATGGGTCTTCCACTGACAACGACCTACCTCCAGACAGATCCAGATCTCGTGGATCCGACAACGATGATTGAATTTCGGAATAGAACAGATCTCCTAGATCGCCCTATAGTTGTGGTACGCCACACACACAACGGCCTGATGGTCTAGTAGTATGATTCCTTGTTAGGGTTGTCTTCAGCTCATCTCGAGGAGGTCCCGGGTTCAATTCCCGGTTAGGCCCATGTCCAGTGTAATTGCTTGCATTCTTGTTTTGTAGTTCCATTGAACTCTTTTTGTCGTCGAACACGGGCCCTAAAAGGGTGCAACCATCACGTGAGGTTGACCGATTCGAGAAACCGCGTTTCTCTCGCAAAGCGGAAAAGGCAGCACGAGGGGCTTTCCACAACAGCATTTCCTCCCGGACGGTGAATTTTTTCTGGAGTAGGCCGAGAAGATGCGTATCCCGTCCTTCAAGCTCGGCGGCAAGACCCGCTCCCAGTGCCTGTACTGCTCCAAGGACTTTTCCTGCAAGAACGACGCCTACCGCCACATGTCCCGCAAGCACAACGACAACGCGACACAGTTTATCTGTGTCTTCAGCCGCGGCGACGCCCTCGGCCGCCACATGAGGACGTGCAGGGAGAGCAAGGAAAGGGCCCCTTGCCCGTTGCGATGCCCAGCGCCGCCAACAAGAGGAGGGCGAGCGGGGCGCCGCCGCCCCCCGGTGCCATTGACATGGACGTCGACGGCGAGGAGGAGCTCGATGATGTGTCGATGGAGACACGATTTGCCTCCAGACAGATCCAACAGATCCAGATCTCGTAGGTTCTGGTAATGATCTTACCTCGAGATTATAACCAGATCTCCGAGATCCGTTCTAGATTTGTGCTGCGCCACAGATGTCACGGCCTGATGGTCTAGTAGTATGATTCCTTGTTAGGGTGTTATTTAACTCATCTCGAGGAGGTCCCGGGTTCAA